TTAGAAAAAACAAAGTGATAATAACTAAAAGATGATAGTTAAACAAGTTTTATATGTAGAATTAATATACACAATTGAATAATTATCTTATAGTTGCAATAGTTGAGTAAATTAATTTTACATAAAATTTTACATAAAATAGTTTATAATTAAGTAAACTATTTTATGTATAATTACAATGACTATAAAATAATTTATTCAATTCTCTCTCTATACATTAATTCTACATATAAAACTTGTATAATTAACACTTTTGTAGTTTCTACCATCTGTCTCTTTCTCTGATTGCAAGTGTAAGAATATTACCACGCTCGACTCAAATGTTTCAAATATTTTGAATTCATAATTACATGTAGATATCAATTAATGTCTTCAATCCATCAATACAAAATTAATCGCTGATTATATTTAATGGATATCTTTTCATAACTATGGTCATTAAGAATATTTTCAAGCACTTTCTCAATCTGGATTCTCGTCAGTTACAAGCATGCGATTCTACTAAAGCAAACTCTAATCAAACAATGCGACTGGATCATCTTCAACTTCGTTACAGAGCGATGCTGTTCATTTCTAATCTACCCACTACATAATTTCGAAAATTGCTGAAAAGCGAGAAAAGCCGAAAAAATCGAGGATCGCTTGCTGGCTATATTCATCCGAATTCCTCGAAGAGACAAAATAACTACATTCAAAATGGAAAAAATTTCATCAACGATGCTATCCAATGGAGGAGCCATTGTGGAAAACGAAAATTCCATGGTACATGCTAGCCGAATTGTACGAAAAGCAGCTCCATATTAGATTTGATCGTATCACGATGGCCAATTTAGAGAGGAAATCGCGATTGTCGCCGCGGCGTCTCGGCGCTATTGACTCTGCCATCTTCCAATCATCGAATGTTTTACAAAACGACGGATGCTCGGGGAATGCTTACGAACCAGATCAACGGGTCAAAGGAATGATACTTTTTCGTAACGAAGGCATCACATCGTAAGATAACTTCGTTTATCCCTTCGCTCGCTTCCTGTCGTTCCGAAACGGAAACGTGGATGTTTGCGAGGGATGATGGATAATACGTCAAAAACGCGATGGAAATAACGTCTACTTCTCCGACTACTGTAAACCCCGTCTAGGATTTATGATTTTTATTGCCGTCTACGAACTTTCCTACGTCATTCTATCACAATTTGCCAAGGGCATCGACTGTGTTAATTAGACGTCATTTATCATCGCTCAATATTAAAAGAGCATCTAGCTTCATGATGCAATCCCAGCAAAACCTCAAGCATTTTTCACTTTTTCATTTCTTTTCCCTTCTGAGTTATTGTGCCATTACTTACAGAACGGTCGACTGTGCTAAATTAAATGATACATTAAATTAAATGATAGAATTAATTAAACGATAGATGAAATTGATCGATGAAATGTATTGACTGAAAAAATATAAAGAGTTTTTAAAGGGATGGACATGGACGTATCCAAGGTGAGGGGGGGTTTGGGAGATTCAAACTCTATCAAAGTTTTTCATCCATTTTCTCATTTTTAATCATAACAGAATATAACTTTACTTTTTTTGTTGTCATATAAAATATTTTTTCTTCCCGTCAATCAAAATTTCTAAAACCGTCGTTAGTTAGAGCTTTAACAGAATGTTCGATATGTACGGAAAATTTTCGCAAAATTTTTGAGCCGAAAAAAAAAAGAAATTATTATGAAATATAAATAAGTGCTTCATTCATAACACATCTCGTTTTTAATAACTATATTTTATCTTTACTTTTTTCGAGGAAAAAAATAAAAGTTATGATTTAAACCTAATATTTTTTTCATTCAAAATCAAAAACAAAAAAGAGATATTCTAAGTTTTAAAATATCCAAAAAAAGAATTTATTAACGCAAAAAATTGCTGTTTATATGATAACAGAACTGATAAATCTCCTCCCTTCCCCAAAAATCCTAAATACGCCCATGGATGGGAGTGATCACGTTTTTCTATTACTAATTCTATCACTCGAATATAAACTTTGTGATGCGATCATCAGATTCATTTAACGCGATCGCGATAGGATAAAAGGTTAAAATTAATTAATGCGTATTTCCATTAAACAGTAATACGAACTAAAATAACATTACGTGAAGCATAATTTCAAACTAATTCATGTAACATTATTCGCTACAGAACTCACTTTGACAGAAATTTCGCTTATTGGCTTTTACCAATCCAAGTGGATCAAATTGAAGAGCGCAAAACCAGCAAATTTAACGGACTGACCTTTATAAACGCGGTTGTTTAACACAAATTCGCGCTGTCCCGCTTCCCGAAAACCACAATAATCGTACTAATCATTCAATATAAAAGCAAGGAATATCGACTGTAGTCTGAATGGCTTTAGAATAAGAGATAACCGTTATTGATGCCGCCTACACACCTCCGAAGAAACGACTCACCTTGATATTAAATGTGACGCAAATCGACGGTCTCCGAAAAGCGAACGAAGGACTCGATGCTACGTGCCGGTTAATTAACGAGACTAATTGGATCTTTTACTTCCTTTGTAAAACGGTAATTAATTAGATTCGCGAATCAAAATGATTGCTCGCTCGTGTGCGGACAAATGAACCGCTATTCCAGCTCGCGCAGTTATTGCCTTTCGATACCTCGACATCACCGAACGAACGAATAAACGAACGAAGGCCGAGGGCAAAGAGATTCCCGAATCATTCAATTGGCAATACTCCTTTGGCCGTTTATCTCTCATTGAAACCATTTTAGTCTGATTCGTTGATCTTGATTTATAGGTTGCCTACGAAAACTTACTCTTTAATCAAATTAAACCTAGTATCCAGTTACGCGGATTTCAAGCGCGTCGATGTACGGCTTTTGGGAAAATTCCAACAAACAAATTGGCTGTGACTGCGCTTTCAAGTTACGCTTCGTAAACGTTAAAAGGATCATTATTGTACTCCTTAGTTTACTTCCTAATTAAAAGAAAATGAAGACAACGTTTGACATAATTAAAGTTGAATAAAGTGACAATTAATCACCGTTTAGCGTTTAACATTTCGAATTTAGAGAAAAGTTAAGAGAAATTAATTTATAATACAATAAGATCTCATACTTTGATAACTCATACTTGCACCATTAAATCTTATTGCTTTGCAAAATAGTAAGTGAGAAATTCAGAAATAGATTGGCATTGGTACGAATATATAATACATAAAATAAGAACTTTTTTATTTAATATAATGATAATAATAAATCAATGTCTTTATTTTTCTCTACTCAACTTCTTTGCTTTCTTTTTCACGGCTATTAAGTATATCTTTTATATTGTCTAGGAACAAAACTTACTTGGAAAATGAGTTGTCACTTTCTTATTTTTTATACCCTGTCTGTGAAGAATAAGATGAATTATGGTTTCCTTTATCACTGCTCGAGAAATAACATCTCTTGATATTTAATAATAAATCGTTATCTTTACTTGATTCCTATATATATTTTTTCTTTATTTATAGTTTATATTAAAACAATGAGTGATTCAACGTATGTCAAAAAGAATCAATTTTTTAATCATTGCTACATATTTACATTACTAAATATATACATATATTCTATTAGGCCTGTTCTTTTTGACTGAACTTTTGCACCAGTTCATCTTTCTTCTTCTTCTTTCCTCCTGGAGAAAAGAAAGAAAGATAAACTGATGCAAAAGTTCAGCCAAAAAGAACAGGCCTATTATCTAATTTTAAACTTTATTTTCTTACTTATCAAATAATTATAGTTATTGCAAGAATTTTATTCAAAAAAGAACGTGCGCATTGAAAAAAGTAATTGGTATTTGTACTATAATTGCATGATAAAATATTCATAGTTTAGAATCTCCATTTTTATAGTTATTACGCTATCATGTTATAAATATAACTATATAAATATAGATAATATAATAATTATATTTATAGTTCCATATATTATAAAACCAACATGTTCTCGAAAACGACTATAAAGTTATAGATTTAAAAATACAGAATTATAAATGTAAATCTATAAAAATACTGAATTATTTTTGTAGTTTTTGTCTATAATGTTAGTAATTTTATAATTCTATAATTCTATTTTTATAACTCCATATTTTGAGTCCTATAACTTTATAGTTGTTTTCAAGAATAATCATATATTCATTTTTATATATAGAATTATAAATATAATAATTATTAATACTATATATATTATGGCGCTCCTAACTATAATTATTTTACTACGCAATTATAGTAAAAAATACCAAACACTTTATTAGCATGTAATTTTATTTTCTATATTTTATATAAATAATTAAAAAATTGAAAATCTATTAGTGCCTCATCCATCTCTAAGGAATCATACTGTTGGTAATTACTGATTACTGCAACTTCATCAAATATCTGAGATCACGATCACAAAAGAGAAATACAAAAGATAATTATCGCGCAAATGTTATAACACGTTTGTGCCGATATAACAGCGTCATGATTATAAGAGATTATTTCATCGATAACAATGTACCCTCTATACATAACTGTACCATTCATAGATATCGAAAACTTTCCAAAGGATTATATCAAACAGACAGAACGTGAGTCAAAGATAGCCGCTGCGTGCTATTCCACATGCGGACGGCGACCGCACCGAGGTCAAGGCACCCGGCAGTTCACCATATTGCTGCCTGCATCGGCCAGCACGGGCACTACCGGCGACGTCCCGTTCTCCATTTTCTTCCAAGGATATTCGAAACTATTAATCGATACGATGCGCAAATACGATTGTCACAGAAGACGACGGGTATTGCCCGCACCTTTCGTTCGCACCTTAACGATCCCCGACTTAATGAATGAGCACGAAGTACCGTGTATCGAGTGACCTCCCTCGTGTCAAAGAAATTGATAGTAACGATCGGAAAGCAGAGAGTAGGAATCGAGCTGCACGTTGCTCCGCACTGTGCCGCAACGGGACCACAATCAAGATGGTCGGCACAACATTTTACCGGTTATCGTCACGATTGAGCGATGACGTCGACGATGACGACGGATCCAGGCAGCGGTCCCTTACGTTTGCGAGTATCACGGTCGGTGGTCCGCCGACGTTCAAAGGGGGGACGAACTTGAAAGACGAGACACACCACCACGACCAACTACGACCACCACCTACACGTCGTTTCACGGGACGCGATAACGGGATGCAGGACGTAGCGGCTGCGGCGGCGGCAGCAGCACTAGCACCACCACTAGCACCACCACTACCACCCGGCGAGGGTTGTACTCTCGGGGAACCCGGCGGTTTCCTCCCTCAAGATATATCAGCCGGAGACTGTGTCACCACGGCTTGCCTACGAGACGAGTGGCGCGTGTGCTTCTCGTCCGCGACGACTCTCGACGCGACGAAGGTCGCGATCGATCAGTACTTTTCGAAAAAGACGCTCGCATGCGGGAGGGGCGAGTGTGAGAAACGATGGGATACAAACCACCACCACCACCACCACCACCACCACCACCACCACGACTACCGTGCCGGCTACACGTCGTTTCACACGTCGGTGCACCTGCAGCAGCCGCAGCAGCAACAGCAGTGGCAGCACCATCAGAGAGGAAAACGATACGTCGCTGGGACGCCCGGAAAGTCCCGGCTACACCATCCCCCGTCCCTCCCACTTACTACCCTTCCCGGCGTCTTCCTCTCTCCTTCTATCTTCCCTTCGAGTGACGTCACGGGAATGGAGTCGGGGATCGATCCTGAACGCCCACCTCTAGACCCGCATTCTCTCTATTCCGAACAGTACTGACCGGATAGAAAACATTCGACCGTACCCTCGACGATCTCCAGCGACCTCCTCCCCGCACTCCGGATGTACGTACGCAGCCGGTGACACGCATCGCGCAACGGAAGGGCGTAATTCCTCGCCGGATGGAGTGCACTGGCAAACTCGCGGTTGCGACGCGAGCCCGCGAAGGGATGAAGCGATGCGCGGGAAAATGGAACAAGAATAAATGAAGGGAGGAAATATATTGAGAAACGATTTCACAGAAGATATTTTCGCGCTTAAACTATGATTGTTGTGAATTTTCGAATAAAGAAATATTATTAAACTTTCCATGTCAGAAGAGAAATATTTTTTGATGATGAAAGATTTACATAGAAATTTTATTAGGCACCAAGATCTAACCTCGACCGAATTTACCGCTTCTTTATTTATTTATTGAACATTTTGTTCTAATTAAACAAACTTTAAGGTTTTTTCTAACTATAAATGTTCAAATGTATTTTTTAAATATCCTCGTTTTGAATAGCTTTTAGAATCAAAACTGTACCTAATTAAATCAATATATATCAGATTATTAAAATACAGATATTGAAATCTGTCAAACTAGCTGAATATCACTACAGCCGTAACGGGAACTTTCGCGTCAATCTATGAAGTATGTCAATAATTCAAGAAAAAAATAGATAATATAACAATTGTTCCAATTGTTATATTTTTTTCTCTTGGGAAGTGTCAATTCTATATGTCAATATAAAGAATAGTCTCATGACAATATGTACGTTGTATCGTTTAATCGTTAGTCTGACTAATGTCCGTTTCTATCAATGTAGTTTTATTTTAATCACGATTCTAACACTTCAACTAACTCTTCATCTTGTTTCTAGTTCTGAAAATTATATTAGGTTAAAAAACCGAGATTAAAGTTCACTGATAGAAACGGGTATAATAGAAATATTGCGCAAAGGGGTTAATTTCACTTCTGCGAGATTAATTATCCATTGTAAGCATGGATATGCGCACACATAATAACGTAATTAATGAGGGGAATAAAACTAGCATGCCAGACAGCCAGATCGTTGTTTTGCCTCCGTTATGAGGCCGGGATGCGTTGGCATGACTCTCAATTCCAAACATCGAACATTCAAATCTGCATCTGCGGGTCGGTTAATCTGCATAGATATTGCGCCGGGCAACGCGCGCGTGGAAATTCGGCAAACTATTATTCCACTTCCCCATTAAGAATTCTTTTGTCCCCGGAAATCGCTCGTGCGCCAGATCGGCGTTCAAGTGGCATTAAAGGAAGGATAATGTCCTCGCCTGTCGTCTTTTGATCCCCGATTTTTCGCCGCTTCGTCTCGGAGAGCGAAACTAACGTCAGTGTGCGGATTGAGAGTAAAGGGAAAGAGAAAATCTCGCGCGTGCACGTTCCTTCGAGAGAAGACTAAAAAGAGATGCTAAAAGAACTCAATCATCGTCCCTGATCTCTGCCTATCATTTGATGGTGAGATAATGAAAAGAGCATTGAACCCGCCCGGTTATATTAAGCTGTACGATTCTCAAAGCTATAAAATTCTAATGCAATGCAAACAAGGCAACATTGTGGATCTTACATAAATGACCGTAAAGGTGCTTGAGATTGGAGTTGAAATAAATAGAGACTGAGTCTCTCATATTTTGCAACATTTTGTTTTCTTATGCAGCAATTTTTCTTCCTCAGTGCCCTCATTTACCAAGTAAAAGATACTCTCGGGGCAACAACTGTATGCAGCTGTTTTAAAATTTATCAGACAATTTAGAAACATGAACAAATTACTCTAATAATTAATTAAGAGAGCACAAATACTCATATATGTAATATAATATGTTACATTGTGTTAAAAATATATTATGTATGAAATTTCAACTAAATACGAGATACGAGCAATTCGATTACATAAAAAAATTAGAAACTGTGGAAACTAGAGTTAAAAAAAATTTTTTTTGTTCACGTAGAGTGTATAAACTTGTAATTTTACCTCAACATAACATTAACTGTAACATTATACATCTCGTGTGATGGAACATCATTATCGATAACGTATTTTGCAACGAAGCTCTCTTCCGTGTAGGCGATTCGATGCATTTTACGACCGGAAGAGCGTGGGAGTACAAAAGTGCATTGGTCGGCGAAGCGACGTCTTACGCATCGGGTGAACAGTTTACCGGGATGCAATGTCAGTGACCTTATCTACTGCAGCCTAAACGAGCAATTAATTGCCCTGTTCGCCGTGCGGAAAGATATATCATCTAGAGGCGTGATTCTGCCCACTAATAGTCTAAGATAATATTACTCTTATACTTTGTTAAATGTCTGAAACTACGTCAGACATTGAAAGACGCGCAACATTTCTTTCCAAATAAAAATTAAGAAAGAAAAACACACTGTGAACTGTATTTCAAAAGTGTATATCGATCTAATACAACAAAATATTGTCCGTTTTCTTTGTTTTCTCTTATTATTTAAACAATATATATATTTTTAAAATTGATTTTGCAATTATCTTTATATAAGCCTGCTTATTTTTATTAGAACTTCGTTTAGTTTTAACCTGAAGTCCGAAATATACATCGCTCTTTAATGAGGTAAAAAAAATTCTTTTAAGGAATATAAATATAAAAATATAAAATATACAATACGTAAATATTTATATAAATTGCACTCTTTAAAAAATGATGTAATTTAATTAAAGATTCAGAACGGAGAAATTATTTACGACAAACTCTTTAAACAGCATCAATTTAATATACTGTTTCTTAAACAAAAATAAATATAAATGAGTTTTCGAACAAGAAACGAGAAAGAACGTAACCGCACTGGATACATTAAAATGCGGCCTTTGAAGAGCGATGTAAGTTCATCGAATAAAGGAAGTGTTAGAGACCAAAAGCGCATTTCCGTAGTGACGAAGGATCGAGCGTCGTTTCAAGTGCTGAAGTAACCACATCGCGGTTAATCTTAAAATTCAGCCAGCCAATGAAGTTACCTTTGGTTTGCCGCGCGCTGCTTGCACAGCTTCAAACGACTTAGCAAGAGATAAACTAAATAGACAAATAAGCAAACGAAAGAAGGAGTCTAGGTAATCGTGAGACCAAAATCGGGTATTTATAAATACATTTATATGCAAAAGAGAGATCCCGCGGCAATTCCACGGAAAACGGCAAATCCACGTAAGACTCCCGAGTCTATTAGTACCCTACTATCTACAGATTTGAAGAAGTACAATGAAGAGAGCAACGTTTCTCCCATTACCCCTTCTGTTGGTACGAACGTGCCTCAACGCGATGCGCCCGTCTTCGCGTCTTAAGAGGCTCATTCGAATGCACGATCATACATAGTCGTGTCGTACGGTACGTGCATATCGTCTACACCGAATTACAAACTGCAAAGCACACCTTTGCACCCGGGATTATTTGATGAAAAAGCATCCGCGCTTATTCTCGTGACTACCCGCTGATTCAGCAGAACGAATAAATGCAAACGATCCTTCTCTCATCTCGACGTTAAAATTTATGGCTGAATGCACGTATCATGATACGAGTTATTGCAGCTTCAAAAAAAAAAATTTAATTGGCATATTAATTACTCATTTGCGGCTTTTATTCTAGATTTTTCAAAGCTTCAATATTAATGTTCCGCTCGTTATTGTAAAATAATGTAATCATACAATGAAATAACTTTCACCGTAAATCGCGGTAACTTCGACACAAATTTTGATAATGTTCGGACAACATTCAAAATTATTAATTATATTAAATTAATAATTTTATTTCTTCGAAGATTTTAATCTTTGAAAGCTTCGAATCTTTGAGGTTTAAGTGTCGAAACCCTCGAAGCAAATTACCAGCTCTAGTTTTAATATGTACGTGGATTAATATAACGCGCAGCGCGCACATACTTCGTTAGTATAAAATAAATCAAGATCTGACTCACCATTCTGCTTTCGCCGACAACCGCGTTGCTCCTCACTGTTCCATCGGGCGTCGTTGCAGGCGTAATTCCTGGCATTGTTTCCACGGCGGGAGATTATCAAGGAGTCCTTAGGCAAAGGTGGCAGAGGTTTGTTAGCGTCGTACTCCTGCTCTGAGCAACTGCCATCTGAACGACACCTCGGAGACAGGCCGGCAGTGCGGGCGACGTACAAAACGTCCTGAGTTCCGTCGTGTCGATCTTGATGCAAAAATACCGAGTCGGTGTCTGAAGTGCTGTCCTCACTTCTGTGTCGTCTGGTGGGTGGCTCAGGTGCCGTTCCACGTTTGGTTGGCCAGTTTCCAGCCGCTAAATCCGGTCCGGCGTTCGGTTGATTAGAGAAACTGACCCTCTTGGGACCGGTGCTCCCGTACTCCATGGACTCACCCCCTATTAGGCTTCCTCTCTTAAATATAGGATGCGGTCGAGGTCTGACGTCGCCGTCGGTGCCGTCTTCCTCGTAAACCCCGCCGACTTCTGGCTTCCTCGCCGGAGACGCCGTGCCAGTTCTTCCATCCGCGACAGATTTTCGGCACATCACGTGAACACTGGTACGTTCGATGTCGCCTCTATGGAAGTGCGGGGAAGCGCTTTTCGATCTTTGCGCGTCGTATCCCGCGAGATCACGTGGATTTATGGCCTTCATCGACAACTCCTGACGATCCCGCAGTGCCTGTTGCGGCCTGACTATCAGCACCGGTTGATTCTGGCCCTTTTGAACTTGCATTAACAACGGTTTCCCGGTCGGGCTCACTTTGAGACGTTGCGCGTTGTTCCAGTAGGATCCATCCCTATGAATGACGGAACCGAGCGCGTTAGAATTGAACGCTTGATTCGGCAACGCAGGTGATATCATAAGGCTTCCATTTCTCGCCTTGTGATGCGTTTCGTACAATCCGTCCTCCATCAGATTCTGCTCGTAGATTCGTCGCTGTTGCTCCTCGTCCAGTCTCTTCAATTGTTGCCAATACACCGCCTCTCTCATCTCCGGCAGATCGATCTTCGGTGTGATCTG